AACCTATATGAAGATAATTATAACTTTTATCATTATGGGACTATATTATTTTACTAGTTAATAACTGAAAGTCTTCCTGGGTACCTGTTACAGACAAAGTTTGTTCTATGGTTTTTATAACATAACCTACTGTGAAATTAAAAGATCCTTTTTTATATATATCACTTATAGGGACTTTAAGTATATTCCAGTTCTGTATTTGTTTTTCGATATTATCGATCACCATTTCTTCTTTAAATAGCATCCAAAGAGTACTGCTACTAAGAGTAATACTTTAGGAGAGAGAAACCTAATTAAATTCCTTCATATATATATATATATATATATGGAAGCCACTACGCAACGCGTAGGGGCAAAACTGAACAATGTTTTCACCCATAGGCTCATCACTGTCTGAAAAAATCGGACAGCGTGGATAAAACGACCATCACAGACAAACTAGGTCCATAGCGGTAAAAAATTCACACGAAACTGCCGTCTGCTGCGGGTCAGTTCAATAAACTGCCACAGACATAGCAAGTCTGTGGTGGTGGCGAAACACTGTAGCATTTCTCCTATAGGCATTTTTTAGGTTTTACGTATATATATATATATATATACCCTTCCTAAACCTGAAACCTCCAAAGCTGGTATGAATGTGATAGAAAAAGTCCAGGATTGTAAATACATAAACCTAGTAGACAAGATAATAGCCCAAAAATGGTTTACTAATATCAAAATCGTGGTTCAAAAAGAATACAGTTTCCAAACTACTGCCCTGAAAGATTCAGGAGCTGACCTAAATTGCATTAACGAAGGATTAGTTCCAACTAAATATTTCAGCAAACCTACCCAAGTCTTAATACTGTCGATGGCAGCAAAATGCTTATTAATTATAAATTATCAGATGCTGCAATTTGCAATAATAGTGCTTGTTTCAAGTTCCCCTTCATACTGGTAAAAGGTTTATATATATATATATATATATATATAGCCTAAGCTTTACGTTTAAAAGTAAAGCCACACTCCGGATTATGCATTTTTTATGCTGAAACCCCTATGATGGCATGAAAAAACTATTGCTGCCCTTGATTTCGAAATTGAAGATTTAAAAATGGTGCAAATCTAGTGGATCTATAAAAAATAGAAAATAGACAGTCCACATAATGCGTTACAATTACATTATTTTTAGCATTTGGAATTCATTTATTTCAGTTCCATATTTGTCGAAGTCAAGATGATCAATTTCAGGGTATTCTAGCACTAGGACTACATTTTTTGGGGGGGATTTGAGGTATGGATTGACATTTTATCATAAGGTTTTCTTTCTTGATGAAGTTTTTATAATAAGGTTTAGACCTTATATATCGCACTAACCTTCAACCCTAGAATTTCGTAGTCCAAAATATTTTACCGTGAAACTCCCTTATAAGTTCAAAAACGACTTTTAATTATAAACAATTTATGAATTTCAGGAAGAGCATTTTTCCTTTTTCAAAATCCCTTCAATACTCACTCGCAAATTTAAACAACTTCTTTTGACATTCTAGATGATGCTTGGATTTTAAAAGCAATTTAAAATGACAAATATGCCCTTTTTGAAATTTTCAAATAAGCTAATGTTAATAGTTTCTTATTCCTCGAGCCATTTATTTTGGGGAGACCTTTACATGTGGTGCCACCCACATATAAAACATTGTGACTGCTATTCTCACCCATCCGGTCTAAATAGATCGCTAGGATAGCCTCAATCAAAACGTAACACCTAAAACTGTTTTATTTTTAATTTTTAATATAAAGCATACTGACATGAAATTTTGGAGTGCCCACTACTTACAAGGGCACACCTAACAAAAATAAAATAATATTCTTGATAACATAAAAATAACCAAAACACCCTGGCAAGTCACATGAGTTTTTTGGTTAATTTTTTATCAAAAATATTTTTTATTTCTATTAGATGTGCTCCGATGTGAAGTGGGCACACTACAAATTTTCATGTCAAAATGATTTGGAAAAAAAAAATACTTTGTGCCGCCAGATCAAGATCAAACTCTCAAAAGGCTAACTTGTGGCATTATGATTAAAGTTATCCCAGCCATCAATTCAAATCAGACAACTAGAAGTAACAATCACATATGTTTTATATGTGGGTTGTGCCACGTATAAAGGTTTCCCTTTATTCTGGCTTATCATAGGTTTAGTCTACAACCTCACCAAGTTTGTCTTATTTCCAAGAACTAATACACTCTGACATATACATTATATGATGTCCAAGCGGATCCATACTTGCCAATGACTCGAAGTGAAGTCCCTTCTGTAAAGAATGGCGAGGACGGATCCAAGTCTTGCAATCCAATCAAAATACCATGTTTAATTGGCAATGATGCCATCTGACTGCCTGCCTTGTCACCTAAGATAACTTATTATCTCCTGCAAATGGGAACAATCACATGAACAACGATCAATGAATTACAAAATGGTAGCCCTGAATAGTCTTTTTATTTTTGTATTATCTAAATTTCATTAAACTAAGAAATGGATATACAAGAAGTCATTTACAAGTACAAACCATCTACAAAATTAAAACTAAGATAATGCCCTACTCTTTCAAATGATTATTATTCATGTTGAGACAATATTCTGACTAAGGCATCCGCAATTCGACTCCCTCCACAAGTTGTGGAAGGTGACTTTCAATGTTTCAAGTATCATGGATATTTCTTTAACTCCCATTATCTTTAATTTCCTCATCCGGTGTTTCCCATCGATGCAATATGCTCTTCATTGTAGGGAAACTTTGACTAAAGCAATCCAATGGTTTATGAAGTGCATTGTTGAATTCCCAATGCCAAATACTCTAAAAAATTCATGTGCAAAAAATATCCACGTGTGCATAGTGCAACCACATGAAACCAGATAAAAATTCTGTAAGTATGAAGGTAATCAAGCACTTCCATAGTGGACTGGCCCAAATGGGAACTCTACCATCCACATGCTGAGTATGCCTTCTATAGAAAGAATCTGTCATCCGTCCTCGACAATGGATGGTGCACCTGAACAGGAATTCCGCTGAATATCAACCATTTTCAGTCAATGGAACCACAATTCATCCCCATGAATTTTCAGGATGACAACCACGGTGTGAATGGCATGTGATACCCATATGAAATACAAAGTGGAATACTGAAATCCAAGCATTGCAATTTAACATTAACAGCAAAGATGGAGTTTCTTAAGAAAGTCTTGACAAGCCCACCATTAATCCATGAAGCATTTCATATCAATAGCATCACAAACTATAATTATACAATTTATAAATATTCAAAATTTCATGCACTAATGAAAAGCAAAACTTAGTTGAAAGCTCACCAAGTGGAGAACTGTACAATTACAACGTAGCATTAAAATCGGACACAATATGGTTGACCAAAATGCTTATCTAGTATGCCACTGCTAGTGTTATTAGACACTAGATGTAAACATGCTGATAATTTCAGTCCAATTGATCTTCCAGTTGGGATAGTAAGCTGGTCTAGCAAATTGAGAAGAAGATTCCCTTTTCAGGTGACAAATATAATAGCTCATTAATGACCAACAAGATTATAATCAGACTGACACAAATTGCACATTGCCCTCCCCACCTTACATGCACCAATTTAACTGTCATCTATGACCCTAATGATCCTAAAAACCGTTTAGCTATTTAGTTATAAGAAAACTTGAAAGGAAAATAGCATCTTGGAAATGTTGCTTCCTATCCTTGGGTGGCTGCATCACTCTAATCACGTCTACCTCACCCAACATACAAATCTTTCAAATGTCCCTATTCCTTATCCTTGGATGGCTGCGTCACTCTAATCAAGTCTACCTCACTGAACATCCAAATCTTCCAAATATCACTATTTCACATACCAATGAGTATATCTCACAAGTCGGAAAGTCTCATGAGCGACTCCTTATGGAAGGCATCGAACAATACCAGCAGCAAGCAAATTGTAAAATAGGAAAACATCTTTTTCTACCAAAGAAGGCTGTGTTTGGGCTTGGGCTTTAGGAACCTTTAAACCACCAACGCAGCTCTATGAGATGGTGGTGACGCTTTGCCACAAGCCATGAGCACTTTTGGAGGTCTGTAATTCTCCGTAGATACAGGATGGATAGCTTGGGGTGTTGCCCCAAATCCCATCAACAGTAAGGGCCCCTTGGACCTGGAATGAATTAGGCAAAGAGATACCATTCTCTTGGTGCATTTCTCACCAGGTGCAGAGACCACACAAGGTTTTGGAAAGGCATGTGCTGGAGGATCAAGCATTTGAACAAGCTTTCCTGACTCTTTTCAATGTGGCTATGAATAAGGAAGTAGTCATCACGGAATATGTGATCCAAGAGGTGGTCATCTGGTTTGGACCCCCTGCTCCGTCAGAATCAATGACAACAGGACTGCTGATCTTCTCTCCCTCATGGACAGCCTTCAACACTTAATGCCTCTTTCTAGCTCAGACAAGATTGTATGGTCTCCCAGCCAAGAATGCACTTTCACATGTCCTACAAGATCTCAGACCCCACTTCCCCCACCCATGACTCTACACACAGAGCCTGGCCACCATCCGCTTTCCCCAAGGTCAGGCCTTTTAGCAGGCTCGCCATAGACTTCTGGGCTTCTCACACAAAGAAGAGTTGATACTACACCTCAGGCGTCCTCAACCAGTGGCATCACATTAACCAATCTTCCCCAAAAGATACTTTGAGATCCTCCTTGTGGCTGCCCTTCCCCCCCTCCGCACCATGGCAGCTCTTCCATGAAAACTGGTACTGCCAGTGTCAGAGGACTGATCAGATCCCACTTGGGCGAGATTCTCTTGACTTTGTCGGGCACAGATGGTATAAGTGAATGCCTCTTTAACAACACACTGGCACACCTATGCAGCATGCAACTCTTTAACTGATATTGGGGCTCCCCACTCCTCATTAAAGGCGACTCACTTAATGCCATCTCTTGGGAAACCAAAACCACCCGTTGCCTGCAGAGACTCGAAAGCAGCTTTAAGCAAATCTCCCACCTATGCCGTGACCTCTCAGATACTTTCCAACATACTTGGCGCGAGGCAAATGTGTCACTCAAGGAGTCACCATTCACTCACTTTTAGTGACCCGAAGGCCTAAATCCCACCCATCATAATTTGTACAGCCACCATGTACATTTTCTAAATGAAAAATTGTAACTAATACCCTTGTGAGATATTTTCCACTACACACCAATTGTACAAGTTTCTAGCAGAATACAAGGAGTTATTTATTAAAAAAAAAAAAATCTCTATTAAATTTGGAAACAAACTGGAAAAGAAAATGACAAATGCGAAGCAGTACTTGTGTTAAATGTGATGAATGAGTATAACGAAATGGTTTAGGATTACTTTTCAATAGGTAAAATGAAATCAGAAAGAGAAACATGGGCAGAATACAAAAATCAAGAGTTTGTGGTAAGTGTCATTGCATATCACACAGATACTAACAATATCTACAACTAGAGCTTTCTCTTGACAGCTCAATAAAGCGTCATGTTGACAGCCAAAGATGATTACTAAAAAGTTGAACAAGAAACTATGATGAAATCCACAAAGAGAATTACCATCAAGACCCACCTCAAGATTGGCCAATCTATCATCTTTTTGGTTGGCTTCACTTGCCTATGACCAACACCTATGCCCCACAATGGACTAAGAGAAGAGATTCTCATTAGTATATATACCTAAATACCTTTCAGAAAAACATAATATATCATGTAAAGAGAGATAAAACAATACAGGGATAACTATACCTTATATTAAGCAATAGACAAATGGCTACACTACTATGAAAAGCTCCATCTAAGGAGCTCACATACAGCATAATCCCTTGCCTACTCTCTCCTAGCCACACATCCTGCATTGTCCTACATAAGTAGATTATGTACATAGCAACCAAAACAACTCCATGGAAATGCCTCTACTAGTGGATAGTGAGAATAGGTAAACAAGAACTGGGAAGAAAATTTACTATTAGGTTATCAGGAGGCAACTTCTCACAAGCAGAGACTTGCTTCAGCATAATTCTCTCAATACTAAGATCTATCATTCAATCAGGCCTTTGTGAAAACGCAAATGCCACACAAGAGGGAGAAACGCCATCTCTTAACAATTAACACCTATAAAGTTGGACCATAAGCCATCGTAACAACTTAACCAATCCTCCTTGTGACATTCAATCCACTTCATAATGATCTTGGTTTCATCCCCCTTTGCTTGGAAATGCTATCATTTATTCCCACATATCAATACCCTGTAGAGGCTCATTGTCACCAAACCATGTATAACAACGGACTGAGCTCCACAAATTGTTTCCCAAGAAGCAATAAAACTACAGGGAGGTAATTAAGGCCTTGCTCTTTTCCTTCTTACAAAAGAATATGGTACACAAATATTACACCCATTGAGCATATCCATGCACAAGAATAGCCAATCCAAGGGAAAACCCTTGAAGCATCTTCCATACTTCTACTTTGACCTGCTAATTAGAAGAAAATAATTAACATTTACAGAAAATAGTGGTTAGACCAGACTCTCTAGTAAAGGCATTCTTCAATAACTTCTACAGATTCCACACTTGAAAAACTATCAAAAGGCATTCTGCAATAACTTCTATAGATTCCCCGCTTGAAAAACTATCAAATGGTCAAAGATATCGCAGAGATACACTTTTATCCTAACCACAATTCCAATCCTTTTTACTCTAATGCCAAAGGGCCTAACATGCCATCAGCTACTTGCTTAAGACTGCTTCACTTGGAAAGGTCTTCTACTCCTATGTAAGCCTCAAGGACCATCAAACCAAGAGATGGGTTTTGTGGGGAGAAGAGAGAGAGTGTGTGTGAGAGAGAGAGAGAGAGAGAGAAAGACTCTTATGACAGGTTCATCCAGATCCTTGCACAACAATCCTCACAGCTTGCGGGGCACTCTCTTTAGTAGCCACAAGAGGATGCATATTCCAAGTAGTGGTCAACAATCAACTGGATCATTTTATTTTTTCTCATCAAACAATAATTGATGGAAAAACCCCAGACTGCTTGATAAGGATCAAGCAGTTTTTTTGAAGAAGATAACAAGAAAAACAGTATATTCCCTCTTCCAGGAGGGTACCTCAATTTCCAGCAAGAAAGAAGAGAGTATTTTCATTCAATAATTTTTGCAATCTGCGTACAACCCTTTGTCCCCTCTCTACCGCTATCAAATCTTCCTAAAAATCAGTTAGCAACTTTTAAGGAAACTATCCTAACAAATAGCTCAACTAACTAATTGAATTAATTCAAAATAAGAAACTAACTTGACTCCTACCATTTAGGTCCTGATGATTATTCAAAATAAGAAACTAACTCCTACCATTTAGACACTGATACTTATTCAACTTTAGCCAAATGGGCACCCAACATTCTTGCCCCCTTGAAATCAACCTTGTCCTCAAGGTTGAAAGTGTGGATACTTCTCTTTTAGCAGATGCGAAATTTCCCAGGTTGCATCAGCAGAGACCATGTTAGACCATTGAACTAAGACCCTCGATTTCTGCGGTTAACTAGCTTGCGGTCGAAGATTGCAACAGGCTCAAGCTTGAATGTTTTGTCTTCATCAGTCTCAGGCAAGTTGGCCTGCATAACAACGCGATCACCTAACTTCTTTTTGAGGCAAGATACATGGAACACTGGGTGCACACAAGACCCATTGGGTGCCACCTTTCCAATTTCGCTGAATGACGGGAAAGGGGCCATAATATCTCAGAGATAGCTTCATGGCATGGCGAACTGCCAAAGTGGACTGTTGATACGGCTGTAAATGAAGATATAATAGGTCTCCAACCTCAAATTCATGTTCCGAATGATGACGGTCTGCTTGTTGCTTCATACAATTTCGAACCCCTTCCAAATTCGGTTTTAGAAGCCGGCGAACAGCCTCTCGAGCTAACAAACTTCTATCCACAACATCAACATTTGTAGCTCCTGTGACATAAGGTATCACTGCCGGAGGTGGCTGGCCATAAACCACCTCATATGGAGACATCCGGGTGGATGTGTGAGTTGCAGTGTTACACCACCACTCTGCTAACGACAACCACTTAACCCAATGCTTCGGTTTGTCCCCAATGACACATCGCAAATATGTCTCAAGACAGTGATTAACCACTTTCGTCTGGCCGTCAGTTTGCGGATGATAAGACGAGCTCATCTGTAGCTGCATCCCTTGTAGCCAAAAGAATTCCTGCCAAAACTGACTAATGAAGACAAGGTCATGGTCGCTAATGATGGACTTTGGCATCCCATGTAACTTGAAAATGTTGTCTAGAAAGGCTTGGGCTACCGTTATGCTGAATACGGGTGAGACAATGGGATGAAGTGGGTATATTTGCTCAATCGGTCAACCACCACATAAATGACACTCTTCCCAAAAGAGACCGGCATCCTTTCTATAAGATCCATGGAGACTTCCGTCCAAACTCAATATGGAATTGGCAAGGGCTGCAATGTACCCAAGGTAGCCACAGTTTCCCCTTTGTAACTTTGACAAGTATCACACTCTGCAACAAACTTGCGCACATCGTGCCGCATTCCTCTCCAATAAAGTGACCTTGCCACCCTCTTTTGTATCTTATGCACTCCCGAATGTCCTCCTTCAAGGCTGGAGTGAAATTCTTGTAACACTTGAAATTTCAAGGGTGACTTAGTTCCTAGCACAAGCCGTCCTTTGTAATGCAACTCGTCCTGGGTCCAAGTGAAACCCGAGTGAGCAGTAAGATCACGTGAGATGGCGGTAATAATGCCCTGCAGCTCCATGTCTTCATCCCGACCCCATTTAACATTCTCGAACCAGATATGATGGGGAGAAGATATAGCCAAAACAACAGCACTATTGGCATCTTCTTTTTGGCGAGATAATGCATCAGCAGCTCTATTTTCACTACCCTTCTGATATAAAATCTCATAATCATACCCCATGAGTTTCATGAGCAATTTTTGTTGAGCTGAAGTGACTACCCGTTGTTCCAACATGAATTTCAAACTATGATGATCCGTATGGATCTTAAAATGTCGGCCCAACAAATTTGGTCTCCACTTGGTGATTGCATGTACAACTACTAATATCTCCTTCTCATAAGTAGAAAGGCCCAGGTTGCGTCCAAAAAGAGCCTTGCTTGTAAAGGCTATGGGACATCCCTCTTGCATTAGCACCCCTCCAAACCAATGTCGAATGCATCACACTCCTGTGCTAGAGAAGTCTAGTAATGCGAGGACTAGTGTGGTGGTCATGGCCACCTTGAGTTCTTCAAAAGCCTGCTCAGCCTCTTGGGACTAAAGAAATGAGTCTTTTTTTAACATATCAGTTAACGGCTTACTGATTTTTCTATATTCCTTCACAAATCTTCGATAATATCCAGTCAACCCAAGGAACCCGTGTAAGGCCTTGAGCATCTTTGGTTTAGGCCACTAAGTCATGCTGGCGATCTTCGATGGATCAACTGTCACTCCATCACCTGAAATAATGTGGCCCAGATAATCGAGCTCACAACGCCCAAACAAGCACTTGGAGTGCTTTACGAATAGTTTGTGTTCCCGTAACACATCAAGGGCACACCTCAAATGTATTAAGTGGTCAAACCAGCAGAAGCTATAAATCAAATGTCATCAAAAAATACTAGAATAAACTGGCGAAGATAGGGTCGAAATACCTCGTTCATAAGCCCCTGGAAAGTGGATGGTGCATTTGTCAACCCAAATGGCATCACCAAAAACTCATAATGCCCTTCGTGAGTGCTGAATGCCATCTTGTGCACATCGTCTGCATGCACCTGGATTTGGTGATAGCCAGACCTAAGATCTAACTTGGAGAAAAAACAAACACCATGTAGCTCGTCTAAGAGCTCATCTACCACCGGAATTGGATATCAATCTTTGATGGTGAGTCGGCTCAAGGCGCGATTGTCAACACACATGCACCAAGAACTATTCTTCTTTCGAACTAGTAAGACCGGCGAGGAGTATGGGTTTGTACTAGGTCGAACAATACCAACTTCAAGCATTTCACGCACAAGTCTTTCTATTTCATTCTTTTGCACATATGTATACCGGTAAGGCCGCACATTTGCAGGTTGGCTCCGAAAAAGCAGGGGAATCCGATGGTCATGGGTCCGTTCTGACTATAGCCCCATAGGCTCCGCAAAGATGTCTTCATACTCAGATAAGAGTACCTGCATTTTTGGATCAGTAGCCCCTTCATTTTCAGGGGCAGCCAAAGAGAAAAGCTGAGCCAACATTCCTTTTCCCCCCTTGCTAATGAGCTTACCCATATGAGATGGATCAACATGGGATACTGCACCCTTCTAAGCCCCGCGTAAATCATGTTTCTTTCCATCAAGGGTAAACTCCATCCGCAGTCATGAGAAGTCACATAGTATGGGGCCCAACGTAACCAGCCACTGTACGCCCAAGACCAAATCACATCCGCCAATTGGGAGCAGCCGCCCATCAGCCTAGAAAGTTGTGCCCAGCATCACCCATTAGAGATCCTTGCAAATCACGTTGCTAATCAATTTGCCATTGTCAGCTACATAAACATCCAAGGGCGGAGCAGCTTGCACTAGACAACCGGTTCGCTTGGCAACTCAGGGGTGGTCTACAAAATTGTGTGTGCTTCCTGAATCAATAAGAATAACAATCTGTTGCCGTTTGATGAAACCCCGCACTCTCATGGTTTGGGTTGAAGTTGACCCAGATATGGCATTCACGAAAACAATTGGGTCCTTCTCATTATCAGTGGGGTCCTCTTCTTGCTCAACATCAGCCTCATCACCACTTTCATGGACAGTCTCGACGTCTACGACATCAAGTAAGTACCGTTGCTGCCCTTTGCAGCAATGGCCTGGGGCATACTTTTGTCACAATTGTAGCATAACCCCTGGTCGCTTCACTCTTTCAGCTCAGCCAGTGAGAGCCGTTTGATCGGTGGAAGCCCCATCAAACTAGGTGGTTTAGCTGGTATCACAGCCACTTTTGGGATGTCGGTGCTAGCCAATGGAGCATTAGTTTTGGCCATCCCGAACCGACGAATATCAGCGTGCTCTTCTTGTAGTTGCGCCAAGCCGATAACTTGTGTGATGTTTGTAGGTCGAAACATCTGCACTCCTGGCCAGAGGTCCTCTCTAAGTCCGCTGATAAAACAACTGACATAGAAGTCATTAGAAAGTCCCCTTGTTTTGTTTGCCAGTTGCTCGAATTGTTCTTGGTAGGCACTAACAGTGGAGGTTTGTTAGTGGAGGTTTGTTTTATCTTGCAAAGCGCACCAGCAAAATCTTCATAGGGATTAGGCCCAAACCTTGTGCACAGAGCACTGACAAACTCGCTCCATGGTACCTGTCTAGTGGTCTTCTTGAACCATTGGTACTACTAGAGTGCCTTCTTCTCTAGATGGATGGAGGCCAGGGCCACTTTCTGGCTTTCTGGGGTGTTGTTACATTCAAAAGAAGTGCTCTACCCTATCTACCCACCCCAAGGGTTCCTCTCCATCAAACCTTGGAAAATCAACTTTTGCATGCCTTGTTGGGGCTCTCCATCAAACCTTGGAAAATCAACTTTCGCATACCTTGTTGGGGCTATTCTAGCAGCCATTATCATTCACACTGGTTTAACAATATTCGAGCCCCCCATTTCAGATTGATGATTGGCTTGAGACGACGACAATACATCATATTTGAGATTGATGGCAGCCACCAATTACCAAATTTCTTGTAGAGCCTCACCATGCTTTTCATTGTTATCTTTGATTTGTTTGAGCTCCATCTCAAATATCCTGGCCTCCTGTTGTCTAGTTCCATCTGCCATGATTTCTCACCACAAGTTCAAGGTTTACTCTGATACCAAATGATAAGGATCAAACAGTTTTTTTGAAGAAGATATCAAGAAAAACCAGCAAATTCCCTCTTCCAGGGTAAGCTCAATTTCCAACAAGAAAGAAGAGAGTATTTTCATTCAAAAATTTTGAAATCTGCGTACAGCCTTTTGTCCCCTCTCTACAGCTATCAAATCTTCCTAAAAATCAGTTAGCAACTTTTAAGGAAACTATCCTAACAAATAGCTCAACTAACTAATTGAATTAATTCAAAATAAGAAACTAACTTGACTCCTACCATTTGGGCCGCGATGCTTATTCAAAATAAGAAACTGACTCCTACCATTTAAGCCCTGATGCTCATTCAACCTTACCCAATTGGGCACCTAAAACTACCAGTCTCCTAAGTCCAGTATTGCATGCCAACTTACTTGCAATGATAAGGGATTTCTGTATTTCAGAACCAAGACGGTAAAAAAAAGGGAGATATCCCAGAAATACCCCATGACTTTTATTACACAGGTAAGATTGCTTAGCCAAGACAACTAAGATTATAATACCAAGTGCAAATTCATGATAACTACATTTAACGTTTCACCTTTCTGAACAATAAAATAAAAAATCATTTTTGGATTTTGTTTTATTTTTTATCTTTATGTGTATAGCCGGAGGTTATACTCAGATCGAAACCCAGTTGAGGACCTTCCAATATAATGACACACATTTGATGCGGCCATCAAATGCGAACCCGAAACCCCAATATTGATTATAGCCAGCAAGGTTGGGTTAGTAATCAGGTAATATCTGCGCTCAAATATCCAAATACAAAAGTATAAAAACCCACAGTTCCCATGAACGTTTTAGTACCGAATGAACAATGCAGAACACAAAAAAAAAACAAATCCAGAACACAAATCCAATGTCGAAAATAACCATACCAACCGAAAACCAGAGATTCTGACCATTGAATCGATTTGAAGAGACCACGGTTTTCCCCTAGCTAATTACTGCTCTGTAACTGGTAACCTGTGACAAGAGAATTTTTTTTGTTGTCTACTTTCTCCTTTTCAGTTGAAGCAATTTAAATTCGGCCTTTGGGTTTTGCATAAAATAAATGGTGGAGTTTGAAAATAGTGCATCTTCTAATGCAATTTTGGTCTATCAATTTTCAAATTCTCATATATAAATGTTCGATCTACATTATTTTTAGGGTTTTAAATTTTATAATTGATGGCACAAATATATTTTTAAGGCTATCACAAATATTTATAATTAGTGATACAAATATATTTTTAAGGCTATCACAAATATTTATAATAGGGAAAATTACAAAAAAACTTAAAACTACACTTTTTATGCAACTTAACCCCAACAAAACCTTTTCTTTCATTTTTTCCCCAAAATATACTCTCTATGCAAATACCCTAACGAAATAAAAAAAATACCTAAACTATTCTGCTTTACTTTTACCTTACCCATGCCTCTCTCTCCTCTATCGCACCAAAATACGGCGCTCCGGTACTATGTAAGTGCGATCCGACAGTAGGGTTCCGACACTATATAAAGTGTGGTCCGACGATAGGGCTCCGAAATTAGGTAAAGTGCGGTCCAGCAATAGAGCTCCGACACTATATAAAGTGCGGTCCGACAATTACAAAAGGCGGTCCAACAGATGCAAAGAGCGGTCCGGTAGTATGTTACTGGATTCTAGGGCTCCGGTACTATGTAAATGGATGTCCAATAGTACTCAGTAGTTGTCTTAGGGCGGTCCGACACTTGTGCGCTCCAACAATGTGATGGTGCGCTCTGGCAATGTGCTACTGGGGTCCAAAATTCAATGTTAAATCTGGCCAAAATGATTATTGTGTACAAGATGGGCTTTTCTATCTAAAAAAAATAAAAATTTTCCGTTTGGGGTATTTGCATAGAAAGTTAGTTTTGGGGAAAAAAAGTGAGAGAAAAAGTTCGGTTGAGGTAAATTGCATAAAATGTGTAGTCTTGGGTTTTTTTGTAAATTGTCGTTTATAATATTGAAACCACATTTCTTGACACTATTTGATGGTGCGCTCTATTTTGATTGTTTAGAGCCTCAACTCTATATAAACTGCACCCTTTTGTAAATATTAACAATACTGCATACAATGTATTTTTTTTCTATCATATTTACTTCTGGGCTGTTACACGACCCAATACACCCTACGTGTTGGGTTATTCTAGAATGCATCATAATAATGGTGAATTTAGAATTGGAAGAAGTTTTCTAAACAATCAAATTAGGGCGCACAAAAAAAACTTAACTAAAAGATATTGTTTTGGTACCCAAATATCTTCCAATTGATCCTCTCGACCTAAAGATACATGAACATGAGAAAAAAATAGATATTAAGTTTTGGAATAGTGTATTTGTAATGCAATTTTTAACCGTCAATTTTTAAGTTTTCATAGACCTACTCGATCTACACAATTTTTGAAGCTTTAAATTTCATAATTAGATATAAAAATATATTTTAAGGCCATCACAATGATTTAAAGTATTGAAACCCTATTTCTCGACACTATTTGAAGTGCGATTTACTTTAATTGCTTAGAGCCTCGGCTCTATACAAACCGCACCATTTAGAATTTAGTGCTCCAATTTGTGACATCAAATACCCACACAAATATAATAAAGTATACTAACATGACTTACTTGAAAGTTTTTATGACGGCTTTTCTGTAATTTTAATTTACATTTAAAATCTAATCATCATTCAAAACGTCAAAAGAATCTTTTTTAATTTGAAATTGAATTTTGGAAGGATTTTACAAAGATCAAAATACTATTTTTAAAGTACATGAAATATTATTGGCAAGATGTCATTTTGACCATTTAAGAATATTTTATGGTAAAAAAATTCAAAGTCATAAATTCTAGATTCACTATTCTTGGATAATATATA